TTATCTTATCTTATTAGATTAGATTGCCTTATCTTATTAGATTAGAATTAAGAGAGACTTATCTTATCTTATCAGTCTTATCTTATCAAGATAGAATAGATTGCCTTATCCTATTAGATTAGAATTAAGGGAAGCTTATCTTATCTTATCAGTCTTATCTTATCAAGATAGAGTCTCCCTAATCAGCAAGGAGTCTCCCTAAGAGTAGGACTCTTACCTCTTGTAATCTCTTATTTAAGGAGCTGCTATTATTCAATAAAGGCATCGAATATTCTGTCAAGAAGAGAGTAAGGAGAGTTGGTGATCTCTTGAACAAATCACCATCAAGGCGCCAAGATAGGTACCTCAAGAAAAGGAAGGGACAAGGGGAAACAAGAGGGTTTTCCCGTGGACCGACCCGTGACGAGATCCTATTCCCGGGCCCTTAACAAGTGTTCTTTTTCCATTGGGTCGAGTTGACTGCTTAGATGAGTTGGCTGAAGTCCTTGCATGTAAGGTGGGCCATTTCCCTGGGAAATACCTAGGGCTCCCTCTCGGGGCCAAGTGTACCTTGAGTGCTATTTGGGATCCGGTGGTAGAAAGGATGGAAAGGAAACTTGCCTCATGGAATGCCAAGTATCTTTCCCTGGTGGGTAGAGTTACTCTCCTTAAAAGTACTCTTTCAAACCTACCCACCTACTTCTTATCCCTCTTTCCCATCCCTTCCAAATTAACAAAGAAGCTGGAGTTCCTTCAGAGAAATTTTCTGTGGAGAGGTTGGGAGGAAGAAAGAAAAATCCATCTTGGTAAGTGGGATCAGGTTTGCCTCTTTGTGGAGGATGGAGGGTTGGGAATTAGGAAGTTGAAGGTTTTCAACTCTTCTCTTCTCAGTAAATGGCTTTGGAGGTTTGGTGTTGAGAGGAATGCTTGGTGGAGGACCCTAATTGCATCTAAACATGGGGTGGATTGGGGTAATTGGAAATCTTTGGATCCTTTTCAGAGCTGGGGGTGCTCACTTTGGAAAGGAATTTTGAAATCCTTTCCGGTTTTTTCTGATGGTCTAGCTCTCAAGATTGGTAGGGGATATAGGTTGAAGTTCTGGAAGGACTCCTGGTGTTTAGACATCCCCCTGGCTGAAGCCTTTCCGCTGCTTTTTCATTGTGCCCTCAGTCCTGAGGCCTCAGTTGCTGATATCTATGATGTGGTTGGGGACTCAATCTCCTGGTGCCCCCTTTTTAGACGAAATCTTTTTGATTGGGAGATGGATCAGCTGTTGGCCCTTCTGCAACTGTTACAGAGGCAATCTATCTATGTTAATATGGATGATGAATGGAGGTGGAGATGGTGTTTTTACTGTTAAATAATTGGCCTCAAAACCGTCTCTGGCAAGAGCCCACACAGGTGACAGGCCACAGCTAAGATCTGAAAGCTGAACCCCTCTCCTACCCACACAGGCCAATCACCTTGCTCCCCTTAGCCTGATCAATACACACCCTACCCCTTTGTCCTCAGCAATCAGCACAAATGCATGCATATAATGCCATTATTTTTGGTAATAGATAAATAAAAAAAATTCATTAAAGAAGAGTAAATATATACAGTAGGGTGATAAGATGCCACCCATAAAAGTCAAACACCTAAAGCCCACTCACTAAACCTTCCAGCCCCTCTTAGTACAAACAATATTTCCCTAAACCTGACTCACACCCTTCATTTTCCCCAAAACTTGTTCCAGGCCCTGTTTCCATCTCCTCTCCATTCTGTTCAGGTATTTCGACCTCTATTACTGAAGGAGAAGGATCACTGATGATCTGATAATGCCATTACATATTATGATGGTTTTCAATATTTACATATAGAACTATCCCATTAATTATAGATAAGATATTTAGCTCTTAAGGAAAGATTCTTGAGTCTCAGAAAAAGGTGATGAGAAAGAAAATGGAGAAGGAAGAGTTCTCCTGGGTGACCAAGTGGAGAAAGATCTTCAATATAGAAGCCAAAAGGTTTCTAATGGAGGACCCTTGAAGAAGGCTTTATCAAGCTAAACTTTGACAGTAGCAGTCTTGGTAATCTCGGGCCTTCTGGTATTGGAGGTGTGTTTAGGAATGCAGAGGGTCAGGTTGTTGCCTTGTTTTCTGGTCCAATAGGAGTGGGGGATGCAGTTAGTGCAGAGGTCCAAGCAGTCGTACAAGGAGCACAGCTAGCAAAAGATTTAAACTTCACGAGATTGGTCATTGAAGGAGACTCTAAACTTGTAATTGGGTGGCTGAAAGAGCCAGGGTAATGAGAAAATTTAGGTGGCTAACATCCAATTAACACATAGAGTTCAGTGGGAAAGGAGATCAGATAATGGGATGGCAGATCTTCTTTTCCAAGCAAGGGGTGCATAGGGATCAATTATTCTGGACTCAGTTGTAATTTTGCTTTGTTTTTTGAGGCAGCATCTCACACCTCTCTGTGGGATCTCTGTTATGTAATTTTTGTTGGCTCATATTAATCATTCTTAATAAATCACTTTATTACTTATAAAAAAAAGGTATCAGCATACTCAGGATTGGTTTTGAAGGTGAGAGAGAAAGGAAGAGGAATGGTGATGCTAAGAGAGGAAGGAATCACATGGAGCAGTTTATAAAGAGAGAAGAAAACAAAAATAGGAAGTTAATACAACTCATGGAGTTGTGTGCAAGATATAGAAGGCAAGTTATCATCATATACCAGCAGGAAGAGACTTGGGAGGAGGGCAAACAATCTCTAGGACTTAGCAAGAGTTTATCATTATCAAAGATAGAGGGAGAGCAGAGAAAGTATGGAGAATGGAGGGTGAGAACTGTGCTATGCATTGAACTCTCTCACCATGTAGAAAACTTAGGACGGGTGTCAATGGCAGTAGAAAAAGATGAGAAATCTGGAAAGCGATGGTGGTGTAGTAACAGAGAGAGTTAAAAATTGGAAGGAAGTAGAAAACACAGTAAAAAGGAGTTGAGTACTAATACAGTGAGGATTTTGGGGAGCATGCAGTTCAAAACTTCAAGGTCCTCAATTGTTTTGTGAAAATATCCAATTTAAAGCTAAACTTGGGGAATAGGACCTTTACACGCATCAATTTAACTAGGTAGTCATAAGAGAGTTAGTTGCAAACATCTTGGCATGTGTGGTAGCTAACTGGCCTTTAACCTACATAAGACTAACTTTAGGGGGAAACCCTAGGACAAAAGGCTTTTGGAACCCAGTGTTGGATAGATTCTCTAAAAGTTGTCCACTTATAAAAAGAAATATATATGCTTGGGAGGAAAGATTACATTTATAAACTCTACTCTTTCAAATCTTCCAGTATTTTCTCTAAGTTTTTAAAAGTCTGGTGCTAGTGGCTACAAGTACAAGGTTAGGGAGGATTATGTGGGGGTTTTTGTGGAAATTGGGTGAATCCAAAAAGATCTATTTAGTGAATTCAGATTTGATTAAAAGTAGGAAGGAGGGAGGATTAGGTTTGGAGGATTGGTGTATAGGAATGTTTCCCTTCTTGCTAAGTGACTTTGGAGGTATTGGGCACTAAGTTGTGGCATAATGTGATCAAAACCATTCATGGTTCAGTTGTGAGCGATTGGGATGCTGGTGTGGCGGTTTATGCTACTTTGGCCTACCCTTGGAAATTTATTCATTCTATTTATGGATCTTTCTTGGCTTTCATTATGATGCCTTCTACAGGGATAAGGTGAGATTCTGGGAAGATTTATGGTGGGCCAACTTACCTCTAATGGATAATTCCCTTTCTATTTTTTTGGTAGATAAAAATAAATCCCCTTCTATTTATGCCACATCCAAACATAAAACCAACCCATTGCTTTCTCTGTATCTTTGACTGAAGCTAGTCTAACTTGGAATTTGGGGTTGAGGGGTTCTAAATACTCTCTAACTCTTACTTTTGCACATATGGATGGAAGTGTATCTGATACTTGTGTTGCAGATAGGAGTGTTTGGTCTCTCTAATTCCAGGTCCTTTTATTGCGCCTTGTTCTTTCATTCTCTTTTTAGTTTCTTCCTCTTCCCCTCTTAAGCAATTTGGCAGGCCAATACCACCCAAGATAAGTGCATTTTGGTGGAGGCCTTTCATTCAAGTCTTAACACTTGTGAGGTTCTTCAAAGGAGGCTAAACTGGTGCTTGTGCCCTCATCTATGCTTTGCAAGGGAAGTTCTGAAACTATATACCATCTACTCTTCTCCTATAATTACGCCTCTAGCATTTGGGAACAATTTTCTTTTCTTTTTTCCTTGTGCTGTTTGGATGCATGTTGGCCCACCAAGGGACGTAAGTGGTTTATTTGAAAACTCTCTCCTATCCCCAATCAAAAGAAGAGGAAAGATCTTATGGAGAAGCACAAAGATGGCCACCTTATGGAGAAGCACAAAGGGTGGGAAGAGATCAGTTACTTTGGGCTACATTGTAATGTTGTATCTTTTTTGGGGGGAGTTAAGAGAGTTTACCTCCCCCCTCTTTTGTAATTGACTATTTCTCATTAATGAAAATTTTTGTTATTGATAAAAAAAAAGATGGCCATCTTATGGCCAATTTGGGAAGAAAAAAATGCTAGACTCTTCAAGGAAGAGGTCCACCCTATAAAATCCTTGATTTAGAATATCATGATAAAGGCAGTTAATTGGGTAAAAACCATTCATGTTTATAAATGCTACTTGGTGGATGATCTTCTTAGAGGATGGCAGCACTTAGCTTCCTCTTCAACCTTGGAAATCAGGAAAACCAGGACAACCTTATCCACATAGTCCCCTCCTAGGGCAGGCAGCACAGAGCATGTCTATTTTTTTTTTGTCTATGTATTATGCATGTTACTTGTGGGGTTGACCATAAACTATTTGGTTTTCCTATGCACTTCTGTTTATAACTTGTTATAATCAGAACTTTGCAATTGCTTAATTTCTGTGTTATTGTTAATCTGTCTCTATTTATTGAGGTCATTTTAGTCTTCATCCTTGTTTGATATCTTTGTTTTTTCATTTGATAGGTCGGGCGAGGTGCCTTACTTCAGGCTCCACTGGATGATGAAACTGGTCGTAATTTGTAAGTTGTGTGATTTTGTTCACTTGTTTGGAGCAGATTGTGTACATTTATGAGCATCATCAAAAACTTTAAGAATATCTAATTATTTAGATTTGTCCTCATCAGGGCAACTAAATCCCGTTGTGAGAGTCAGACATGTCCAATGGATTTGATAGCTCCTCCAGAAGATTGCCATGTTAACAATACATTGTCCTTTTCCTTGCAAGTGAGTAATAATTTATTTCCGAATAATTTGCTCCTATGATATCGGAATAATTTGCTCCTTTTGATCCTTCCTCCCACATTTTCCAAAATTTGGTTGTTTTTCCCTCCATTAAACCTTCCAATTACCCATTAAGATTTCCCTCCTATACTTATATTTCTAGAATTGCCACTCATCTTCTTTAAACCAAATTCCCTCCCTCTTTTTTATTTAATTTCATATAATAACATTATTTTTTGTGGTCAAGAATGTTGCATTTAAGATGACCATGTGAAACAATCATTGCATGTGTCAGACTAGAACGTTGTACTTTATTTAATCATTCATGTGCAGGGCCTACCTAGAATATATGAAAGTACCTTTCTTTGTGTTTTTCATGATGTGATATTAGTTTTATCTGTTGATAATTATTATATAATATTTATGAGAGTATATGGACAACCTGGTGCCATCTCCTTCTTCTCATTCTTTACAAAGAATGATGTGTGTATGCTGTGTATATATATTGACATTTAAGTAGACAGAGATAGAAGGAAATACATTAAAAAATGTTTTTTGGAAGGAATTAACTACACTAGGCCCCCATGCAATTATGGGTGGTGAGTACAGTGCAGTCTTCCAACTGAGGGACCAAAAATATGGGTCACTATAGAAAAGTATAGAATTGAGCATGACTAACTGCCAAAATAATATATACATACATACATACATACATACATACATATATATAGTTTCATCAAGGTTGATGGGCATATTCTTTGGATTTTAGTTGGCTCATAGGAGATGAAGATTTCATGAGTCTAAGTCAGAAATCCTCCCAGATAAGCTTCTCGAGTTACACAGCTTCAGAGCTTATTGGTTATTGTAGAAGATGGTTTTATAAATTCCATTGAACAGTTTCAAGCTATGGGGGAATGGACCATGGTGACTGGCCAACTTTCTAAATGTGATTAGGGAAATAGTGTCAGCAAAAAACACTTGAATAAGATGGATATTGAGGAGTTTAATTTCTATGGTGGATAAGCTGGATAAATCAGGAATAGGGGGAGATTTGTGAAGTGACAGTTCCTTATACATGTAGTTTTTATATGGGATTAGGACTATCTGTCATAAAAATTAGGACTATCTGTATTTTATGAAACCTTGTATATCTTGTTATGAACACATTCCTTTTTGTTATATAAACTAGTTACTTTTTCACAGTAAAATGTTTTTTATTCAATTATTTCAATCAGATTGAAGGAATTACTATGAAGCCCTTGTCATAAAAAAATTATGAAGAATTCAATTTAAAAGAAGCAATGCAACCCTTTTTTCGGGTGTTGTGGACTGGTATTTAGTTGATTGAGTATATGCAGTGTTTAGATTACTAGGGATAATTATTATCTGTGTAAAATTTTTCTACAGAAAGTTCCTACTTCTTGTGCATTGGCTGCATTCATCTACTTTCCTCTAAATCAGATATGTTTCATCTTAGTTTTTTTACCTGATTATTAGTTGCATCATTACCTACCAAAAAAGTGAAGACAAACTCTGCTTGTCTAAGATCATGCATGAACAATAACAATTTAGACAAACCACTTGGTATGTTGTTTCAAGTCTTTCATTGAAACAATTTTTACTGTTATGCTATTTAAAATCTAAACATCAGTAATAATCTTACATGTCACAATTATGGATGACAACTCTTGTACGCAACTTCCATCCAATATTTCCAATCATTGTAAAACATTGATTGCCTGTCACCCATTCATCTGAAAGGCCTTATACGTCTAATTCAAATATGATATTTACCTGTTGTTATTACTGATAAAAATATAAAAATATTTACGGCTGTTACTAAATATAGTTTGCTTCATTAGTAAGCTTATTGTATCAGGCTGTAATTTTTGGCAGATTTGTCGTGTTGAAGACCTCACTGTTAATGGCCTTGTCAAAGGTAGCATTCTTCAAATTCACAGGGCAAGGACTGTTGTTGTTGACACAGATGGCATGATAAGTGCATCAGAATTAGGTAATCCATAGCCTTCAATGCCTGATTTTTCTTGAAATGAGACAATGCCCATTAATATATTAACACAGAAGGTATATGTACAAGGCTTAACTATCTGTGTTTGTGTTTCTACCTTGTTGGAATTGTCTTTTAGGTTGCAATGAAGGCCTTGGTAGAGGAAATTTTTCAAATGGAGCTGGAGGTGGTGCTGGACATGGGGGGCGAGGAGGATCTGGATTTTACAATGGACGGTTTAGTGAAGGTGGTAAAGAATATGGTGATGCTGATCTTCCTTGTGAGTTGGGAAGTGGAAGTGTGGGGCCTAGTAAAACGTATGGTCATGTTTCTGGAGGGGGGATGATAGGTAACACATTTTCAAAAACTTTTCCCTTCCATCAGTTTTGTCTGCATTAGTGGCATAATTAAAGGCTTCCATTGGTAGTCATCATCGTGTTTTTATTTAGGATTAGGTTGTAATGCAACGAACTCCTCAAAACAGTAATATAGTAGAAGAATAAGATGATCTTACCAGTCATATATGGAACTTCAAAGCTTTGTTTATTGATTAGAAAGCTGAATAATAACAATAAGATATACATTGTGTGAATGGTTTTAGGGGCCGTTTGGCAAGTCTTTTTGGGAAGATCTTCTGGTAGCTCTGACAGTTAAAAGACGCATTGAGCTTTTGCATTAAGATCTGAGCAGCCTGAAGCCCATTTGGCTAAGGTGTGTCTTTTTGTGCGTCTTTCCGCGCAAAGATGAATAGAAAAAACGCAAAAGCTCCATTTAGAGCTTCCCGAAAATCGCCTGTTTTGGGCTTGCATCTTTTCAGTGCATTGGCTTTTGGCAGCTAGATCTACCGCGAACCAAACGGGAAAAGGCCGAAATCACGGTCTACCGAGCTTGTAAATAGCCAGCAGACCACACGGAAAGACGTGCCAAACGGGGCCTTAGTAACTTTTATTGTCCCCTTAAACCTTATGATACTGATTAAACTCTGTAAATTGCCCTTGATCAACCTGCTAATTTTTTATTTAAAAACAGTTAAATTGAAATAACAAACTAAAAAGACAAACTGACCTCTTTTTCCTATAACTGTAAGTTCCACTCTAACTCACTAAACTACTAGACTCAGATTAATGAAACTCCAATAGAAACTACTAGATTCATGGGCGACTCAGCTGGTGGGGTCCACATGATCAACATTTGGCTGATTTTTGACCACTGTTTATTTTTCTGATGAATAACATGAATTTTATTAATTGGTAGAAAAGAGTGAGTTAGCTATATATAATACATGATCCGTCAATGTACCATTTTAGTGAGGCTGGTAAGTGCCATCTCTTCTCCAAGATCCTTATTTGTTGTATTTCAGGCTTTTCAGCCAGGTAATCACTACCTTTGAATCTCCCTCCATAGCAAATTTCGTAGTAGAGTTCCCATATCCTTTGGGTCCCAAGTACAATGCCAAAAATGCATCCATTATTATCTCTAGACTCATCCAATGCCTGAAGCTCCTGGGTTATCTAAACTGCAGCTTATCAAAATGTAATTAGATAAATTCTTCACTAGGAGGGACCCAATACAAGGTAACCACAACCTCATGGGAAGGTCATGAAAAACAGATTGATGAAGGACACCCACTTTTTCTGAACATCTTGATATTTTTAAGGCCTATTTTCCTCGAACTTCAACATATCCAAAATTCAATTCAATCCAACAGTTGATTGAGAGAGGAATTTGGTATGCAGCTTTTTCCCAGAAACCGGATTGTTGACTTTGACAATCCCTTCTGCAGCCTTCTCTTGAATTTCATCTATTGATTCTTTGTCGTCACTGTCTTAGACCCATCTGTATCAGGTATTCAGGTTATCAAACGTCTCTTTCCTTTCTCACCCCTAGATCTATTGTTGTTTTACTTCACTGATATAGATGCTTACATGATCTGTTTCGATGATAATATGTAGATGTAGCCCTGTTTTAGGTAGAAGAGGAAGTATCTTTAAGCAGCTTTTATGGTCTCAGCATACTGACAGAACTGCAAAAGGACAAAAGTGTCCTTTTACTAACAGAAACCATGATGTTTATTTGGTGTCATGCACATGTACATGCACCATTTAACATCCTTCATCTGAGTATATATAAATGTATATACATATACATTTCAACACTACACATCAAGTTGGAGCAGAAGTATCACTCATGCTCAAGTGAATATGAAGCAAAACAAAACAAATAAGAACTCTCCTAATTCAATTTATCTCAAGAAGGAAAAGAAAATTCTGTCCAACTTTGTATGACACACTCCATGAAGCCCTTGTCAAAATTCAAATATTAAATTTTGAGCAAAAGTTGTTCATTGGATAAGTACCATTGACAGTCCTCGAATATCACCCTCATTCCCCTATATGATCAAAGGAGCAGTGTAGTTTAAGGCATCTAGGTGATGCCTAGGTGTATTGGCCTGGCAAGGTGAGTTGATATCTAGGTGACAACTAGGTGTTGCCTAAGCAACAAAAATGAATAAGTAGATATATACTTGTTTTATAATGTGTGTATATAACCACAGATTAAATCAGTAAACGATGAAATGACAACTTATTCTTGATTTTCAGAAATAATCACAAGTTTTCTGAATGACCTCCCCAGTCCAAAGGAAAATACAAATATACACAAAGATTTTTTTTTTTGGTCAATAACTCTGAAAATTTTCATTAATTAAGATGCTTTAAGATACAACAAGAAGTTGCAAAGATATCAGCATAGAAGCTGACCCAGGACAGAATTACAAATGTGACCAAAACATATCTGTTCTTTGAACCCCTTGCTTTGCTAAGCTATCAGCCAAACTGTTGGCCGATCTCCTAACCCAACCCACCTGAATTGACATATTCCTAGACATCCATTTGAACCTTCTGAAATCATTCTTCAGCTGCCAGGTCACTCCTTCCCCTTTCTGCAACCATTTTATCACAGTTTTTGAGTTTCCCTCGATGATCAGTCTATTAATCCCCCAAATATACACAAAGATTAAGAATGACATTTTGACTATGGGCTGGCCTTGGATCAGTGAGAGGAAATGTGGCATTTTTTACCATCAAAACAAGGTTAAGAGCCCTAATTTTTAGATCTACATATACTCCTATCAACTGAAATTGGGTTACACGTTTGTATAAATATATAAATGAACATAATTGGTTACCTAGGCGATAAGTCTCCAAAAAAGCCTAAGCAATAGTTGATGCCTAGGTGACGCTTTGACTACACTGGGACGATAAATTTGTTTCATGAAAATGGAGGGAAAGAGGAAGAATTAAATAGAGTAGAAAATTTATAATTAGGAATACAAAGGAGAGTTTTAATGCCTAGAGTTTTGCCACTACATACTCAACCTTGGATTGAATCTTACCACCCAAAGTTTACATGTAGATGTAGTTAAGATTTTCTTTTTGGCTAAGATATTCTAACCTGCACAGAAAGTATCTTTTCAATATAGACTCTGAAAAGAGAAGAAAAATAATATTTTTTTGGGAATCTACTTGCTTCTGTGCTAGTTGCTCTTAAACATGTCCATCAAAATTTGAGACTGCTGGAAAAACCTGCTTGCCATTCAATCTAGTAATCCATTCCATAGGCTTGAAATTGTTGGTACAAGCATTAGGACTTTCATCTGGTTGCATCAGTGCCAACATCATATAGGGGACCTCTTTATTTTGTGAGAAGTTGCCACAAGGACTTTCATTCTCTTCAAAGATATTACTATAACTGATGCAATGAAAAATTATGAATTAACAAGAAGTTGCAGCTTACAAATTAGGGTCACAAAGACAAAAGTTTAACATGATAGGTTCATTTCATTGAATATATAAGCAAGTTGTTGTGCTTTTCTCACCATATTCCATGAACACATTTCTTTTCTTTTTTGTCTTTTGTGACTTGAATCACTTTTCTCCGGTTATCTGATGTTCTTGATATAGTAGCTTGCAAGCAGCTTTGTTTTTTTACAATTTTTATTGGATGGAATGAGATCCAAACCTTGCCTACTAATGTCTTTTTTTTTTGGATTTTCTAGTAATAGGGTCCATTCAATGGCCCCTCTTGAAGCTTGACATTTATGGATCTTTAATGGCTGATGGTCAAAGCTATGGTAAAGCAATAAGAGACCACAATAGTAACTTGGTGGGTGGAATTGGTGGTGGTTCTGGTGGGACAATTCTTCTTTTCCTTCAAGCACTTACACTTGGTGAAAATTCTTCTTTATCGGTTTCTGGGGGCAATGGTGGTCCTGTTGGTGGCGGTGGTGGAGGTGGTGGGAGAGTTCATTTTGATTGGGCTACGATAGCCACTGGAGACGAATATGTTCCAATTGCAACCATAAATGGTGCCATTGACAGTAGGTATGAATGGAGTTATTCAAGTATTTAATATTATTAGTCATACATGCAATTGATGTGATATTTCTACCAACAAAGTCTATGCATATCTAACCATTAATTATGCTGAGAATAAGTTAGTATTTTATATTTGAGTGCTTTGGGGTATTTGTATATTTTTATCATTGGTTATTTATGTCTGTTTGTATATTTTAGTTATGGAGGGTATTGTTGTCTTTTATTGAGTTTTTTGTAACCCAACATATAAATAGAAAAGAAGCAAATGATGGTTGCAAGTGTGCTACTCTCTTTCATGTCAATTTCTCTCTTCTTTTATTCTCTCCTTTTTTATTCATTCATAGTTTCCAGTCTTCATTTATTGATTTGAGAATTAATATTTTCAAGTTGGTGTCAGAGCTCTAATCCAATAGAACTGCTCCACAAGCACACGTGTTAGAAGCCATATGACTTAAAGGTCAGGAGTCATGGTGGATTTGTTAGACAGTTTTGTATGCCCTTAGCTTCAATCAGAATGATGTACTTTATGAGTTTATTGTAAATGAATAAAGATACATATTTGATTCATGTTCCC